TTAAGCCCGGAAACTGGCAGGGAGGATGTCGAAGACATCATTTTGAAAACTCCCCCAGGAAAACTACGACAAACCGACAACTTCGCTCGTCAGATGGAACAGTCATTTCCGTAGGCCTGTGACGGGAGGGGGTGGCCTAAACCCAACATAAACACGGTACTAAGGTAAACAGGGCTCCCCCAGCGTCGGCGTCGGTCACCATGGCAACGCTACCCCTCGGCACATCGACCCACGAGACTCGGGTGTCTGGACCAGGCATAAACTGTTGCGACTACAGAATGCTACAGAGTTATAGACACTCTGGGGGAATAGACCGAACATATGAGTTACAATAGGTACCAAAAACAAAAATCTCTGCAGGATTTTGGAAGGTAACGGTTGGGTAAAAGTGAGGTGAAAACAAAACGGTGTTTAAGAAACAACCCCCAATTTATCTAATAATTACTATGGTTCATTGTCATGTAGGGTAAGAAATGTGATGTATTATCCCTAGCTTATCTACAGTACTATATTCATGATGCAGTATTGCAACCCCATGATGTGTGGAATACCATATAATACGTGAAAGAACCAACGTACAATGCAACGTATACATATGAATTGAAATACATCAATTTGGCATTACCCTTTTTTATATAAAACTTAAAAATAAATATAAAGAAGATACGAGTTCAAGACGAGGAAAGAGAAAACGTTTTACGTGAAAGTTGCACAAAAACAAAGGTTTGACAAGTCAGGTCTGACGTGTACGAGTATCTTCGCTGGAAAACAAGCATTTTCCCCGATGCACTGTCAAAACTGCAGTGAATTATTAAACAACGAATTCCCTCAGAAGTGAAATTATGACAATGTGTTTGTTACCTAAATATCGTTGTATTCTTGAACACATTTGAGTGAAAGCATGAAATAAACGTTTGGTCTTCGTAGAAAAGCATAAAAATGATTACGTAGCACAGCATGAAAGTGTAGTTAAAAGTATATTAACTTAAGGTAATTTTATTTAGCAAACAAATTAGTTTGCTATTAGGAACTAAACGTAGAGTAGTTTAGTGTAGAATAGATGGTTTGCAATAATAATGGGAAACGCCCGTCCGTAAGATTTGTAGCTCCGTCTCGACAAACCGCTTGGGAACTTGTAAAAAATTCAGTACAAAAACAAGAATGATGTTTTATCCGTGACTCTGCAGTAAAGCTGATTAATAGAGGATCCGCGGCCAGGCCATGACTCAGCCGCGAAATATTAATAGAAAACTGCGGTTTTGGCGGAATATGCATGCGTTTCAACAATTCTGCTGGGCCTGGGACGGTATGTTTTAATAGGGGGTAGGTGTTTGAATAAATTAACCCGTCCGTTGGGTAGCAATGTGTACATAAACATTAACCATTAACCACACGCGCCAATTGTGAGTTAATGCACTGAATTTGCCAGTGTGTTATTGTGGATACGAGGAAAATAATAAATTGTTGCGAAAACATTGCTGGTACTACTTACTGTCTTCTAAGGAGGAATTTTATATCCATCACACCCCATCTATAGTTATCCGTCATAAAGTGAATAAGAACATTCTAGCAAATAAAGGTAATAATTCGAATGTTTGATTTTAATTTTAATCAGGTTATGCTGCAATAGAGTTAATGAACAAAATTATAACTTTTCAGAGAGAAATGATGAAATTGAGATGCATGCTTTGTATGAACCGACTGTTGCGCGCTCTTGCCACATTAATACGCAACAGGTGGCGAGCTGATCGCGCCGGAAACGGAAATAATTCCCCAACACGACCACCGACAGTGCCGCCAACCGCCGACACCAACGGTCAAGCTACTAACGCCATACGTTACAAAATGTATAAAAAGTTTAATACTACTATTAACGGTGGAAGCGGTTATGAGGACAGCAGTTTTCAACCCGGAGAGTTGAGATGAGTTTCAAAGCTTACTTTTCATTCTGTATTACGTAATTTATTTGGCGATACAACGACGAAGGGGAAAATACGTTGGAGAAGTTTCTGAGCGTAGACTTTCTTCAAATGAACGCATTTTGGATCTATTAGTAACGAACAAATTTATTAACATGAGTTTACAATCCAAAGAATATATCTTCTTACATTTAAGTACGAGTCTTGAAAGGATTAGATGCTAGCTTTGTTCAGCTGGTTCATTATCTAGGATAATTATAGCCAAATGATCAAGGATATTTGTCAGTATACTATGGATATGTTTTTACTCATATTCCCGCGTGTAGGAGTACTCGCCACATTCAATTGTTTTACTCAGTACCATCAATGGATGGCCTCAACCTGTGGCGCTGCCATGCGGGCGACGTACAACATACAAGTACAAGATACAGGTAGAATGACATTTGCGAGGCCAACGGTCGAGTTGGAAAGTTACAACGGCGCCAAGGGCAAGGTCACATATACCCCCTCCACCACCCCCACGACTGATGACCAGCTGGCACGGCACTTGGCACTTGGCGCCACTTTTGAATCAGCTGGTTGTGGTTGCCGAGTATAGTTCGTTACTTTTGAATTTCCCGCCATATCTGACCGCCACCTGTTATCTGATTCGAAACTCCACCAAAATTGAGAGTTTTCAATATAAACAATTTTAATACGCAATTTTCTAGGTTGGTGTATATTCAATAGCATTTACTATGCCAATAACCTATTAATTCATTCGAGGGTAAATTGTTGTGTAAATTTAAAGATTTTAATATTTTTAACTGAGATCCTTACAAATACTTGTCTAAATAATTTAAACCTAAGGTACACCTAAATAACTTAAAATGTAGTCATTAGGCATTGCAATCTTTTATGTCAAAGTAACACGTTTTGGGATTAGTTTATCTGACTAGCTCAAAAACTAATTGACCAAGATCCCTGAAATTCGAGGGTGGAAGTTAGTCCTCTAATAAAGCAAAAACATTTTACTCATTTTAAACCTTAATAATTATTCATCAACTCACAATAATTAATAGTAGTGGACACTTTTTATTGACGTAATTCTTCTTTTATCCACGAATCCGTGGTATTACAAGTGACAACAAGTTAACCGCTCTAAATATTATTTTATCCAGTAAAACTTGTGTTTATTTTCACAACAACGTATTCACTGTGGCAACATTCACATTCGCGTCAGGTTTTTCGCTGTTGAACGATGAAGTCAACAAGTGTGCAAATTGTTGTTTGCCGTTGCGTTAACAACACTTGATTGCTCTCCGTATACAAACCCTGGCTGTTGTTAAATATAACTTGTGTATTTTGCAGTGGTAGGCTTGCAGTTGGAGATGTTATTGTTTATACAAACCAAACACGAATTTGACAATTGTATGGGGATGGTTGAAATTTAATTGCCTACAAATTGTTTAGACGTTTGGGACTATTTGATTGAATCTTTGATTGGCTAAATCCTTTTAGTTTTGAATAACGTAGATGGTTAAAATATTTTTATTTATAAAAGGTTAGGTTTTTACAAAGATTGCTAAAAATTTAAATTACAACTAATTAACTCATGATGTTTTTTTTTTCAATTTTCTAAGATGGTGATTGTCTAAGCTATGATTTTGGCATAACCTTTCTATAAAAAAAACATACGCTAGAAAATCTCAATGTTAGAGGGACGAGAAACTCAAATAATTTTCTCAGTATATTTTAACGCAAGAGGAAAATATGTATTAATGGACTTACATTTAATCAATGGGTTAAATGGGAAAAATTGCCCCCGATGCTTGGATTAGACATCAAATCATTTATCACCTTTCGGAACGACAGTGGATAAAAAGATAATATTTTACACCGCTTGACAACGGTGACGCCATAACGTGGGTTCTGGGCCCATGACCATTACTCACGCCCTGTGGGGGGGGGGGCGAGGGGGGTTTATCATTTCCACCTGATTGAATAGTAATACACTTCCTCGGCAATGCCTTAAATTTGAGTTGTTTATTTAAATTCACACCGTAATCAACTTAAGTTGATAATTTTTGTCAGAGATTAGACGTGCAGTGTTTAATTTTTTTACTTTGGCTAGGAAACAAGAAAAAAATAATTCAATTACCGAGGGAATTTGTAATTAACCAGTTTAATCCGTATTTAGCACAGTTAAATTTTACTATCCTAGTACATCATCTGGATTACCAATAAATATTACAAATATAACTGATCTTCCCTCGAGAAATCACCAGACCCCTTAAGCATAATTTTCAACACTTATCCGGTGTTATCCTCCCACTGTCTTTGAACATTCATGCAGGTTGTACAATTTTCAAGAATGTTTCAAATCAAATAATATGTTCAAAGTAAATGATAACCTTCTGGCCTACACTGTGGCAACACATGTAAACATGTTCCTCAAGTTATCTGTTATCTTTCCGTCACATGACGACTTAACTTAGGCAAATGAGTCATGGCAGACAAAAACAGTGACGATATCATGAGTCAGGGAGTAAATACAAGTTGACAAGAATGTAATGATACTTAGTCAATGTTTTCCATTGAATCTACATTCAAGGATTTTTTGTACTATCATCTTGCAAATTTATATGTCAAGTATAAATACATTTTCAAAATCTTAGCTGTCCTAAACTACTTTCAATTCAAGTTGGGTCAGGAGATTTTAGGGACGATTAGTTTTTTCATTTCTATTATTCCCGATTAAATATTATGTTGTATAATATAACAAAAAATATCCTCACCTGGGTAAACTGATACCATCCAAACATTTCAGTAATATTCCTAACAGAGATAAAGGGGTTTCCTAAAATATATAGGTTAACTCTTGAAAATCTAATATTTCACAAGTTGTTTGTGAGAAGTCGCTCAAACGAACAAATATGTAAAATCCAATCGTAAAATATTCCACTTAACTCTCGACATCTGAGAGGCTACTTGAGCGGTCAATGAAGGTTCATGAGGGAGATTAAATTAAGGCTGGCGTGGAGTTCAAGGAGGGGGGGTAGGGGGGGGGAGTAAATTGAAATTAAGAGTGTATAGACTTACTGAGTGGTCAGTGCCGCTTCAGCGTCTGATTCTCACCTGAAAATAGAAATAAACATTACAATATGTTCATAGTTCATAATATATAAATACAAATACTGTATGTACACAATGCTAAACCATTTACTTATGGTACCGAAGTAGAAATACAATTTAGGGACTGGCTGGAGACAGTATTTCAACTTAAAGATGACATAGTTGAATGACATGCATTAATTGACGTTATATTTTTTCTTTTGTTTTTTGACACACAATGAAGTTTTGGGGAGCAAAAATTATACTATGGTAGTAACGGGTTACTGATTGCTCTTTTCAGTTTAGTACGGTTAAAATTTAGGTGAATGTGAAATAAAATAAATTTTAGACCAGCGCACTCAGTGGCTGAGTTAAATAAAGATAGTTTTATTAAAAACTAGTTAAAATTTAAAGTTGCGAATGACAAGAACTATGTGTAACGATGTTTAAAGGAGATGCCAACAATAGTTATAATCCAATGCACCTTTCATCTTTGGGCGGTAAAGGGATTTTCAGCTACGATATTGACATATTTTTCTCAATAATGTGAGAAATTTCTGTGATACAAGTTTCAAAGAGTATCTCGCACTGGATACAATATTACACTCTACTTTGTGAAAGAGGTAAAAATATTGGATTCCTGTCAATCGAATACCGATTGTCGATGATTTCCATCTCCAGCGTGTGTCGTGGACCGGCAAATCTGATGTTAAACAATGCTTCATCTTGTATTGTAGATGTGGACTAAATACCAATGGAGTGTTCGTAATCTATTGTGGCGAACAATTAAAACATTGCGTAAGTGGTAAAATATACTTAAACTTTAAGGGTTGTTTGATGTATTAACTGTATTAATTGTATTAACTGACAGGGTATTTTCCAAAAATATGTTAACTAATAAGAAGGAAACAACTGTTTCATTCATACTTTGCAGTAATTGGAAATTTACGGCCAATTAGTTATACAAATCTTATTAACAGGAAATAATTAGGTATCTAAAAGGAAAATGCCTGACATTTGTAAAAAGGAAGTTAAATAAAAAGGGGACGAAACACAGAGGGAATATAATATTTTACGGAACATAATTTGGACTTGTTCAAAGGAGATTGTCATTATAGAAGGTGTATTGGAACTGGATCCGAGAATTCCATTCTATTGAATTTACTGTTTCGCTTTATTTTATGGTTTGCATCTGAAGAACTCTTTTACTGACAGAAGCGTTTTATCAATTCGAGAGCTTTCATACTGTTATTTCTGGTCTAATTCCCAAACAGTGGCGAATTCTTTTCAAGTAATTATTGCATTAATTGAAAAATGCACCCAATTTATGGATTTGGTTTACTACTGTATTAACATAGTATTTGGTACACCAAAACGTAGTTCCAAATATTTGTAAATATAATCCTCAACCTAAAGTAGGATTGTTTATTATTATTTATTATTTCCTTATATCGTTAAAGTGTTTAATTTCAACATGTTACTCTTTAAGTAAGGTTTTACCATTAAGAAATCGAAAGTAAACAATACTAAACACACAACGAAGGAAACGTTACTAGTAATTTATTTATGTTATGATAGTCCAACGTTGTATGGACTTCACGTGGAATTCTCGCTAACTGGAGCATGCAAAAATATGAACATTTTTAGCATCTTGAATGACTAACGAATACATAACTCAAAACTCAACATATTTAGTCTACAAATTATTGTTCATGAGAGACGTATTAAGTAAGTTAGATTATTCTGACCAATCATGCAACTTATTTTAACAATACGTTAAATTTAATGCGTTTATATTTCATATATTACCAAATTTGTTAAATAATTCGATGAATTGGAAATATTTAATAGTAACAAACATTGTTGCCACGCGGAAACACACGTAACAACAATTTTAAAAAACTAAGAAGAAAACTCTAACCTCGGAACAAAGAAGAATCCTGTGAATGTTTATAAATTATCTTGCCGTAAACTCGGTCATAACTGAGATACACCTATTGTGCAACATATCACGTAAGGTGACCGTGACGTAAATAAAATAATCGAGCAAGAATTTAATAAACCCATCCGAAGCACTGGAGCCTGGTAGTGACACCGCTGTCGCAGGGTGGAGAGGGGAGGCTGGCAATCTCGAAATAAAATTAAATCTTTCTCTCAGCCCAACCTCTTTCATTAGCAGCACTCGGCACTCCAGATGTAAAGGAAAATCGTTACCTGGGCTATTGTCAAGCGGAAGAGAAGTGTACTTAGAGATCGGATACGGCGGCGATATGGAGATGGAAACAATGAAACGCTTGTCAACACAAAGCAAACTGAGTCTGGAGGCGATCATTAGAGAATTAGCCTCTAGCGGGGTACCAGGGTATACCAGGTGGGGAGACCAGGTGAGCGGAAGTCACAGCCACTGCCTCCGTGATCACCAATGTGAGAGAAGTGGCTTTTATACTCTGAGAAAATATTTAGGGGGCCGTGTTGGCCTAATTGAGCCACACAAAGAATCAAGGACTTTACTTCCCGGCGAAACGGTCAAGAAGCTGGAGTGCTTGTTCTTTTGTATTTTAGGCTCAACGATCGTTAAGAGGTTTTATGTTTTACTAGAATATAATATAAGCTGCAAGGGGGGTAGTGATTGAAGTGTAGTGTAAAATTTGAAATCTTATGGATCTTATTGTAAGAGAGTGCTTTAACAAGTACTGCTGTACTTAATACTTACGAGAGGTAAACTATCTACCTTTCAAATTAGGGAAAGCAAACTTGAGCTCATTCAACTCGCTGAAATATTACACATAGTTTATAATTTACTCTAATTTCGCAATACATTTTGGAATACGACAACAAGAAATTGAACTATACCGGTTGGATGATATGTTATATATCAATGTGCTATTGCAGTCATAATTACGAAATTAAATAAATATTTGAAATATGCACAACATAAATAATGTTAAAATTATAAAGAGTTATTTTGCAAGTAAGATAAAAAGTTTTCTAAAAACAAACCGATGAAAGAATTGCGACCGCACGGCTATTAGATCGTTGAATGTAAACAGACTAAAAAAAAACTCAAATATGAAACAAAATGCTGTACGCTTGTGGAGCGCTGGGCATTTCAATTGGGCTGCAGTCAAAACTAATAAAAACATTCCCTGGCATTGTCTTGCCCTCGACAATACTTGAACCACTGCCAACATCACAGGCTGAAATATCGTGGCGAATGTCAACAAAACAAGATATACTGGCACAGCGTTGGAATCCGCAGTATATCAACATTGTCGATTTCCGACTGTAAATTATCGTATTGTTACACGATAATTTATGCGTATTTGTGTATCGGGTGATTAATTCGAGCTTTGGTATACATACATTATGTATTTGATGAGTAGAAAGGGTTTTATAGAGATGCTTTTTAGTCCGAGACAATATTATACTCACAATAATGAACTCTGTTATAAGCTGTACAGTTACCACATGACTTTCAACTCACAGTCGTTCACTCCACTGACCAATAGCTAAACAGTCCGTCCGTCGTCATGACAAATTGGTTTAATGGGACGAGGGTGGACGGGGAGACGCGGACGAACGAGGGGAGGAAGAGAACCAAATAACGAGAGAATGTGAGGAAATACAGAAGAAAAGGAAAGGAATGCCAGACGCCATCTTTCATATCAGAGGCATGTTGACAGTTATTAATGGTCCGTGTAGGGGCTCATACGGATGGCTTCTAGACAGCCACGCCGACCCTAGTGGGCTGACCAAGGCTTTCAAAGTGAATTATTTCTGGAAAGTGTTTTTCTTCAAAAACAAAAAGTATCTCACCAGATACTTATGGCACTCGTAGGGACAAAACTGTCGATTTATGTGTGGTACTTTATGTTACATTTGTAAACATGGGATAAAAAATGTATCTAATTAGTCCTGAGGAAAGTTATTGGCTTTTGATGGTTAATAACTTGACCCAGACATTCTTGGTCATCAAGTTTTCAGTAAATAATCCTGGGTAAATATCTTATTGTAGTTGGCAACAACACTACACATCATCTCACCATCCTACACACATTCGTGTTATTTACACCCGAGGATTCTAAGTATGCAAACAGAGTGCTTCGCTGTAATAAGAAAACAATTAGAGAATTATTTATACTATAATTATATTCTGAATAATCCCAAATAACAAACAATGTAGATGTTTCATTATACGTCATGGTTAGTGCCGGAACAGAAAAGCGAATGCAGAGGAAAGGATAAAAAATAACATAATAGTCGGCCAACGACCGTACAAGGCTGATTGGCCTGGATACAAGGCTGTTATCAGGTGTGTGTGGCGCTTATCTGTTATCAGTTATCGTAGGTGATAACACAAGGGCGAGGCGGACACGCTACAGATACTAGGACGAAGAGGTATGGAAAGAAGAGCGGACCTATGATGGACCCTTGGGATACTCCGGCAAGAAGACTTGTAGGTGGCTATGCCTGTACTGATGAGTATTTGTAGGCAATTTAATCACAAAACAATTTTTCACCGAATATGATACATCGTATTCAAGTAGAATCTAAAAAAAAAAAAACAACTATGAAATTCCAGACTTTTCGGGTATTTTAGGGAGCTTTTGAAAATGAACATCTTGATAAGTAAGCCAAGTGGTATATTGTTTACATATTACTAATAAACTCCAAATTGTTTGTCTCTACTAGGCTACTTGTAATATATCAGATTGCACCAAGTAAAGCTGTATAAAATATGGAGGTAAAATACACAAAAGGATCGGGTACATACACGCATATATACTAAATAGGGATGTAAAAACGATTGTTGTTACCTTTTGATTGCAAGCATCGAACAGGATTGACTTAATAATACTCTATTAATTCACATCTTCACTTATTCGTACAAAAGTCCTTTAATCACGTTGAAGTAAGGTTCAACTACTGAAGATCAAACGACGTCGTCGACTGTACGCGTGTAACTGAGATACCATTCCAAGTGTAACGGGAAATACGACAAAGACATTGGATAAAATGAGACC